AAGGTACGCGGAAAGAAGCGAGGAAACTCCTCATAAAGGCATCCAAGGAAATTCACTGAACACGATGAAAAGTGGATCCTTAATAAATGTTATTTATAATCCTAAAATCAGTGAAGTCAGTTTGACTGAAAAGCCCAGCGAATATATAGAACATATAGTAGTACCTAAACTGTTATAAATATTTTAAGAAAATGTAACTTTTATGGCCGAATATCTGGAAAAAAATTATTTCTCAGCAAAGCCAATCGTAGGGCACGATTATTATTCATTAAAATAAAATTTAAAAAAAAAACCCTCAAAAATTTTAATTCGGTTAAATTTGTAGATGAAAGTGAATTCATTATTTTGGGTATGATTAAAATCAAATCATGCGGCTTAAAAATTAAATACTGAACTTCAAATGAAGAAATTTCCTCCTTGAGTAAAATATGGCGGAGATATTCTGCTGATCTTGGGCTATATGAGTGACTCAGGAGTTTAAATTTTTCTTTTTATGCATGACAGAACTGATAATTTTACGTATTTGAATATTTTAAAACAAAATTCGAAATACACAAAAAAACTCCCATATTGTCGCCCTGAAGTTTTATAAAGGCAATGATACTAAGCATAATGCTTACACTTGCAAACTGAAGACTTTATATGCCAATTTCCATATAATTAAAACACTTATGTTTACTCCAATTCAATCTTATTTTGAAACATTTGCAATACAAAATTCATAAATACAGAGTTTCGGAAATTTAAAATAAAGTCTACTGTTCAATTTAATTTTAATAGAAGCAACTCATTATTCAACATCGTATAAAATGCATGTCTGAAAGGAAGTGAGACCCAATAAATTATTAAAGCAAATTTTATACAGTTTGTTACTCTCTAACAGATTTCTGTTCCCCAATACTTTTTTGATCATTACTTCCTAGTTTGTATATGAAAATGTGAAACGTAATATTCATCTAAGTTTACTCTCAATTAATTTCAGGCTTTTTTGATTTCGTTCAGTTTTAAAGTATGAACATGTGTAATAAAAATATTTCCTTTAAATTAAACATTTCATTATTGATTCAAAAAAATGTCCGAGAGCTTGTTCTGCTCCAAGACGTTTTTGACTCATTGTAGATAGGTTTTGTAAATTATACCCAGAAACCATGAAATATAAATGTACGGATATATAAGCGATTTAAAAATCGATTGTATGATTAAATATTAATTCCATGGTCTATCGTATATTCTGCTTTTAATTAAAAGACGAACGAAGTGAAACAAACCTTCAGACTATGGAAACTTTGGCTATGGGATACATTTTATAAATATATATGGAACTCAACTTTTTATCTGTATGGCATCTGTGGAATTTGTGGGATAAAAAAGCGGGCTTTCCACAACCAGACCAATCGAACAGATATAAATGTATCATCATACAATCAAAATGAATTCAGATGTGTATAGGGTTCTGCTACATCTAGTAGCTTGTTTTAATGCCCAACATACCGGACTGGAAGCGAGTTATCGCTTAGTCTGAAATAAATCACTAATTAATGTAAAGCACAATATAACCTTATTTATTTAACACTTAAATTAACAGAAAAGCGCAAATTGTGCGACAGACGAACCTCCGCTACTCCCGAGATAGTTGATAGCAAGCGAGATCACCAGTCCATTTCTTTGGGGTCAACAGGTGCTGCCTTTCGGATTCAATTTTCTGTTCGGCTCTTTATCAAGGTTCAGTACCTCTCCAGCATAATTGTTTAGATAGCATTAAATTCAAATGTAGATAACGTAGTCTGAGACTACGACGCAAATTAAACTACTTCAGTTGGCTTGAGATAATTGCAGCGCGTATTTTAAACGACGGCTAGCAAAATGCTAAAGCCGGAAATAAATTTAAGTGGAGCTGCCGGTAATACATTACAACAAGACGAGGCTGTCAGAAGCTCTAAAACATTCAGACCCTTTGCCTAAATACGTAAATAACTAATTTGTATTCTGGTGAGGACTATGGAAAGAAGAAGCTAAAAAGAAAGGCTCATAATCATAATAATTGGTTAATTAGCATAAAACCTAACTTGTCTTTAACTAAAAAATTTGGACACTGGAAAACAATATTGCCCGAATACAACTGTGAAAGGTACATTTCGGATTGCAAATTTCCAAAAGATATCCCTTGTATCAGAAAACAGTGGTTTAAAAGTACAGAAAAAGTCCGATAATTCGGCATGTTCGGAATATAAGCGATGCCGCATTACCGGAATAAAACTGTATATTGTCGCAATATCACTTTGATTTCGCGTTATTAAAAATATTGAGGGATGAAAAAAGTTGAACATAGGAATTCCGAAACGGGAAAACCTACTTCATAAATTAATTTTCTTATAATTACTCAGTACTTACTTCGAAATAATTATTATTTTAAAATACAAAATCAACTGAAAGCAAACATCTAACATTTGGCAAATATATTTTATGTTGAAATGGCTTTGCTTCGTGTATTACTATGGTTTCTATAATAGGTATCTCTTCAGCTCACTCTGCACTCAATCGTTTATACACCACACAGTTCAATTAGTCGAGTTTAGAATTCTTAAACGTTTGCCGAGTATCGATAGTTTTCAATGCAGCATACTCAAATAATGTTGCAGATATTTGAGACTCTAATGTTTCAGACTCAGATAATGGAAATGTTGCAGTTTTCTTGGTGTTTTTAGACATATAAAATAATAGAACGCCTGATACCAAAATTTCTCCATTATAATACTTTTATGTTCTCCTTTTTCTAGTCAAATATGAAAATCCATCTGCAGGCAAAATGCTCGCCAAATGTTTCCGTGTTCTTTTCTTATCAACAATTTTATTAAATTTAGGAAGCATTTTAAATGCTAAGGATAAAGAAAGCAAACAATGTATAAGTATGGTGTTTTAAATAACGGGCTGCCTGAAAATGGCAAAAAGTATCTGCCGATCTTGAAGAATGTTGCCGAATGAAATGCGTTCTTATATATCAGAAATATTGGTGAAAATGATGCCAGATTACGAGGTGTGTCGAGCCACTGAATGTCGGATTATCGACCTGTATCGGTTTCAAATTGCAGTATACAGTGCTACTAAGTACTTCAAAATTTTGTGTTTCGTGAAATGCACTTTTATTGAACCTCTTAAATGCGCTTTTAGCCTTTCTTTTTCTTTGATCTCTTTCTCATCTTTTTGTTTCGTTTATTTTTTTCTTTTTATTAGCTTGATTTGTATAATTGTAACTATTTTAGCACTAATTTCGCATGTTAGTATCGCAAAATGTAAGCCGGTATTAAGCCATAAAAAAGAGATCATTAAAAATGCTTATAATTCGAGAGTCACGGTAACAAAACTGCTAGTGCAATATTTAAGGATAGCTATTTTAATTATTTTCTGCATTGCTGCTATAATAACTCGATTAAAAGAGAATGTTAAGATTTTGATTCTGGTGTTCCTTAATAACCTAAAATAGGTATAACACAACTTTTGACTTACCCATGTATAGTACCAAAAAATTATCACCTGTGAAACATGTATTTATACAGAATCTTAAAAATGTATTGATAAGTGTTTATTAATATTTGGTCAGAAGAAACTTACATAACACCAGCCACAAAATAACATTTCCGAGTTCGTCGTAGAAGAACAGCAACTCGAAGGAAGCAAATCTTGAAACATCGCAAAAAGTCACTCATTAAATTTCGACATAATGCTTGCAGAAAACTATAGAACTAGGTAAGAATAAAAAAATGTTTAATAAAATGCGCTGCTTGGTCGATCTCGTTCAAAGGTACAAAAATAATCTATTATATGATGTAGCACGAAGACTTTCTCAAGAAAACGTTAGTATAGAATAGGCGTGGAAGAAAAATTACAGTCAGGTCCTTTCAGCTTTCATTCACTCGTGCGAGTGTAACGCTCAAAGGGGGAGGGAGGAGAAGAGAAGGGAGGAAGTGAACTTCAAACAGATTTATTTATAGGCTTTTTAGCCAATGTCCGTTGCCATTATCAAAATGGAATTCGGAGAAAAAAATGTGAAGGCTTGCCCTCAGAATTATAACCCCCGAAAAAGATATAAGTCGAGTAGGTAATAAATTGTTAATTAAAATTTTTTATAGTGGGTTTATTAAAGTTTTTAATATTTTTTACTGAAAATTATTATAGGATAATATTGTGATGACTTAAAAGCTATCTTTATTTCGTTGATTTCGTAGGCCGAAATAAGTCTACAATCTTCAAAGGATATTTAGATCTACTTAAAGAAATAATTAACTGAAACATGCTTTTCTGGCAAAGCCTGTATATATATATATATATATTACAAATAGTATATACGTAAAAAAAGCAAATTTAAAGTTAAAATAATGTGCAAACATATAAAAGATTTAATTTTCGAACTAATCTACAATATCATTTAAATTCAGATAGCATAAGTAAATCAAGTGCAAAACCAAACCATGAAAATAAATTCACCAATTTAGCAAATTAAAATTAATCTAATTTTTTTTTAAATGCATAAGCGAATGACTGTTGAGCAGGCAGGAGACAGACTTATCAAGGGGAAGTTGCCTCCAAACTTAGTTCTTCAATCATTCAATTCGTGTTTCGTCATTCATGCAAGCAAGGGTAAAAGTCAAAACCAAAAGTAAATACATATTGAAGAATCTCCAAAAAGAAATACCAACTAAGTGGTACCTTGAGTAATTAGCAATTAAAAATTAAAGGTCTAAAAAGAAAAACACCAATAATGAAGTATTTTGAGAAATAAGCAATGTAAAGTTTATTATTAAATTAATTTTTTTAAATTAAATTTTCCATAAAAATTAATTTAGAAACCAATACAATTTAGAAACCAATGCAAATTAAAAATTATATCTCGTATATATATACATTATATGTATGTACACAAGATAAATCTATATACTATAGCATATTTATGTATAATAGTTATATATTATAGAATGAAATTTAATACTTATATAGATACTCACAAAGCATCTGTAGTAATTTTTATCTCCATGAGGGTCAGCATGACTTTTCCTTGGCTTCATTTTCCCCACTAAATAATGAGCTGAACCTTCTTTCCACGTGGCAAGGCATGTTAGTTCTTCCTCTGTAAAAAAGTTGTACCTTTCATAAGCAAATCATCGAAGATCTTAAGCTTAATATTATGTAATCTGATTTAAGTACTTCATTTTAAACTGTTAAAGACGTATCTAAGCTTATTCCTTACATTATTAAGCCATGTGCAGCTGCGAGCTTAGATCAGTCTATTGATGACTTCTGGAATCTAACACACCTTTGTCACTTTTTCCTTTTCTGACTAGTTAAATCAATTAGCTAGTTTCTATCGAAATATTGTAACTTGTCCTGTTAAATTATAAATAACGTAACAGAGCTTCCAAACAGAAAAAAGAATAATTTTAGGAAACGCTGTGTTAGTTTCACAAAATATGTGCATAGATACGTTTTTATACAAGCATTAAATAGAAGGGTCGGCATCAGGGGGGAAAATATAGTTCTGCTTAAATACGTAACAAAGATTAAGTCAAAAATGCCAATTAATTTCTAAGAAAAGAATTTAAAATCAGCGCATTGATTACTCGAGCTAATTTCAAGATTTTAACTGCTTTTATATAAATTTAAAATCTGGATTTAAGGAGTTTTTCATATAACGTAAACGTTGTGGAATTCATTAAAGGTAAAACTTATACCTGGGCGACTCTGCTGATGAATAGCTTCAAATATTTAAAAGCAAGGTCCTTAAACATTTGGTAAGTTTTCTAGCGAAATAAGTGGAAACAGCATTTGTACTCACCACTACTCTCTGTCCCAATAACGTCAGCGCACGCTTGAAATCTGAAGAGCAGCTGGGAGTCGTCTGTGCAAGTGTCGATTGTAGATGGTGGGTGCTTGCACTCCCCTTGACCACGATTGTAACTAAAGGTGAAGGGGCCTTTGAATGGACAAGGAACGGGGGTGGAATCAACTGAAACAATTAATGCATATGGAATTAAAGCGTAAAACTAATTGAAATACTAATAATTAATCGGTAATTTGCATCCATATGTAATCCACAGGCTATAAATTAAAATATCATTCTACCTAAATTCAGAAGATCTAATTATAATTAATTATGATAACTTCTTACACTCTAGGTAATAGTTAAGAAATAATGTACTTAAATAACCTCAGAATATTTTACATGCGTTAGGCAGTATTGCAATCTGTACAATGAAAATGATGTTCTGCCGTTAGCCATATTCGCTGTTTTGAGTATAATGAAATGTGCTAGTTTTCTAATTACATTATGTTAATACATTTAAAACTTAGGTATTGAGTAATAAGTCTACACTAGTAAGAGTAGCATCACTAAAGAAATTAACATTGTTCATTTTTTTCTCTTCTTTATTTTGCCGATTATTTTATATACTCTAGCACAGAATCAAAATATCTTTTATCTGCTCGATAGGTTACCTATATATTCTAAAAGCAAAAGCAAGCTAAAAAATAACAGCTTTCCACAGAAATACATATAATTTTGCAATAATGTCTCAAGGAAAACAACCTTTATTAGTTAGTATAAAGTCAGATTCGGTGGGCCAGATATTATTTCATTCATTTTTCTCATAAAATGATAAAAGATTCGTAGGAAAAAATGAGCTTAAAGTAAAAAGTTAATATAATAGTACACCCTTTCACATGATTTAAAAAGCTTTTCAAACTTAAAGAAGGGACAAAAATGGTCTTCCAAATGAACATTTCTGCTATGTAAATAATCCCTTTTCTAACGTACTGCTGTTCCTACATCCATAATTCCGTGATTCATAACCGAACGGTTTTGAAAAATATGGAAAGCGATTGATATAATTTGATGCGAAATATAAACTAAACATTTGAAACGATATCTTCATAGATAAAAGTAACAAGATGAAACTAAAAATAGATTACAGAAAGGAAAAAGGATTTGGTAGATCTAATCGTTACAAATTTTAAATGTAGAAGTTTAGTCGCTTTAATCACCCAACTGACTTCGAAGATAATCAATATTCTGTAACTATGATTTATCCGAAATGGGTAACCCAGGATTGTAAAAGCTGTTTGCTATGAGATAATCCCGTTAGCTGAGAAAACCCAGAAAAATGCTGTTTCATATTTACATTAAACTAGCCACGTAACTAGTCTGTTACACTTCTACTGTTCTTAAGATTCGTAAAACATTGAGCCGAAATGAACTTGAATGCTCCCAGAAAGGATTAGCAGACACATTAATAATACCTTGCTATCCTGGAATGAAATGAATGGAGTCATCATTTAGTGGTGTTCTTCACTAGATGTTTCAGTGCACTTGAACTGTATCAAAGAATGTGGTTCTTATATAGCAGTATCAGTTATAAACAATTTAGCATTCAGTAAATGCAAAACTATGCAATGTAAACAATGACATTAAGAGTTTTAAGCAGGAAACCAAAGAAATGTCAAGCACCTTTCCAACTAAAGAATATAAATACTATACATTGTAATCAAACCTTTTCACAACATTCCTTTATGTGGCAAGGTAATGAGAGTAATATATTTAATGCAAAAACAAAGAGTTTCTAAAAGCTGAAATGAAAATTTAAACATAATTTCCTTTGATTTGGACATTTACGAAACTATATATTTTTGCTAATTACACATTCAGATACCTAAGTATTTTATTTAAGTACTCGTTTAATAAAACAAAATGTGAATACCACATTTGAATGCGTTGCGTGTTGCACTGTTTCGTCTGGGTCTGTTTCATTTGTAAATGTCAAAATTGTGTCCAACTATTGTGTATCACCTTTTTCCTTGCGAAGTGTATAAAACAGTGTCAAACGCCGCGGAAAAAGGAGTCCCTTTCCATCCCCCCTTTTGATTGACAATGTCTGAACTGGCAACCAGGGCAGTCGGAACCAGAGTAACACGAGCATATGTCATAAAACTGTTTCACCACCATTTCTCTTCTTTTAAGCCGCAGTAATGGGCGTTTCTCGTGCGAAGTAATCATTAATATCGACCACGACAGTATTTCGATTTTTCTCCCTGTAATTTCCCTAGTGAGCCTCAATATCTGTTTTGCATCGAAACTTATGCTTCTGTGCAACTGTATCATATTTTCCCCTAACACAAACTTCTTACATAGCTACTTCATCCAACTTAAGTTTTCGCATAATTATATGTCTAGACACCACACCACCTTACCATTTTTTTTCTCTTAATCTTACAATGCCATGTGTTCCTTTTGAAGAGAAGGAAAAAAAAACATATTATTACCCCTTTTCAACTCAGATGCAAAACGCTCTGTCTTAACGGTAATGTTACCCAGTGGTGACATAACTGGAGGCATTCGAAATTGGAACACAAATGTTAATAAAATAAAGGAAAGATAGCTTCAAAAAATAAACGTCCCTAGTTGGCTGTTTCAAAGTTTCTAACAAAAGAAGATCACTTTTATTTTATGCTTTTACTTTTCGCTTTAATTTTCTTTCCACATATGTGTATATGATTGAACATCCGCAAAAGAATTTTACGGCCTCAAGTGAATCATGTTTTAAAACCAAATCGTTCCATTAAAGTGACTTATTTGCAGAATGTTAAGTGTACAGGAGTAAACAATTCCTATTTCTTAGAAAATAACCTCTGTAGGACTTAGTCCTTTATGATGGCCGCCATGCATAGGAATATTTTATGCATGAAAATTTTCAAGCAGATTGAATACTTGACATCTGAAGGAAATGGAATTAAGGCATTTTTAAGACTTTCTACTTAATAACTAACTCAGTTATCAAAATAAAATTAATAGGCTTAAAACGTTTTATTCAGAACAGTTTACTTCTGTCGTTAGTTTTAGTTTTCTCATTTAATACAAGCGAAATTTATATAAAATAAAGAATGAAAAGAGTTACAATGTATCAAAATTACGAATTCGAATTAAAATTAAATCAATGTAAATGCAAAATAAAAGTTAAATAGCCTAAAATTTAAGATTTTAATTATATTTTTTGATAGTGACAAATTAGAAAATTCCTATAGTACATAGTCCTATAGTGACAAATTAGAAGATTCCTAAAGTATTTATATAAAAGTTAAAAACAAATAAACCAAAACAACAGTTTTTGGACATCTCAGAAATATGTCAACACTAATAAAAAACAATCAGGCATTTAAGCCGATTAAAAAATAACTTATTGCCTGCGACAGCATAGATATAGCGTGTTTATACATTCGTAACATTCTAATTTGACAGATCATTTCTTAAAGTTTTGTATCCTTTTCGTCATATTACCAGGTTAAAGCTTTAGATACAGTTACAATACAGGAGATGTATATATATATATATATTTTAAATTAAACAATTATTTCTGATTTTGCTTTGATTTCAACTAACATTAATTCATAACAATTGCGAACGATTTAAGGATAATATGAAACGATAATAATTGCTTATGTTATGTTTTTGCACAAGTTTTAAACTTGTGTAATTTAAACATTACCATATCATTTTTTGCATGTAATAAATACTTCGTTTGCTTACTTTGCATGCTTTTTACATGCATCAGAATGCCAACTGTGATAGTTTGGCCCCTAAAACTGTTTTTATTATTATTAGATAAATATTCAAGCGGTGTTCAGCCGTCATTTGAGTTCGCCAAATGAGAACTTTATTGAAGCTTACACTCACAAGGCTATACGAAATCTCTAAATACATATACTTTAAATTAAGGATGCTTTATTTGAAGTGCATATACTTAAATATTCGTAAACGCAAGCTATTTTAAATTTATGCACGAACAGTTTTGTATTTCGCAGAAAATATGTTTAAAGCCAAGAGGCATTTTAATGTATGTAGGAATTTTGATGCAACACAGAAAGAGGCTAAAACAGACTAGCCTAGTTGTGTATGATTTTTGTTAATTAGGCAAAGAAATGAATCAAAACCTCCATCTCTTTCTTTGAAAGAGGAAGATAGCGTTTCATTCTGTCACGTCCGTATATACTTAAGGCAACAAATTATGCTGAGTTTCGTTTTATGTTAATTACCAACATACCTGGAAACAGCATGGCGGTAGGCATAAAATTAGTTTGAAAAGAGTGGATTTTTACCGGCTCTAAAAGAACGATAAAGGACCAGATTTATCTCAGTGTGATTTTGAATGTAATTAAGAAAGAGTGTTGGTTAAATTTAAGACGTGCTTTACTAAATGTGGTTTAATTCATGATGCCTATAAGCGAAGCTATGATTCATAGGTTTATACAGATAAGTTTGCATAAATACTTTAGAGGGTTCAACTATGATTAAAATGCATATTTTATACAAATGTATTAAATATTTTATGCTAAAACCTCTTTACAAACTGTTTCTGAATAACTTTAAAATGAAATTAAAGGTCGAATTTTATATGTTATAAATATTTAATAACATGTATCTTTTCTTTCTCATTTTTGGAACAATTTAGCATATCGTATCTCGCATAATTAAACTATTGTTTTACACGAAGATGGTTTTAAGCAGAAGAAATGTACAGTAAGAAGAGATATAATAACTAATTTTCAACATTCTAAATAATCGTTTAGACAGTGTGATTTAGATACGACAATTAGTACAGGCATTAGATACACGATGAAAGCATGTTGGAAGGAGGAAAAAATAACTTATAAGAGCGGAGATTTCATGTCGATTATAAAGATTTCATGTCGATTATAAGTTGAATGAGAGGAAACTGCTCACGAAGTATTTTAAAATTTATTTTTAACTACACTGTTTATACAGTATAGTTATACAGTACAGTATACAGTATAGTACACTAGATCATATTTAAATGAACCTTTGATTATTCAACGCTTTGAAACTTTTATGTATAGTATCCAAGAGGCATTAATTGTATTTTAATTTAAATTGCAAATACTACAATTTCTGGTTTTCTCTTTTTGTAACTTTATTTTGTATAACCTTTCCTAACAGCTAATGCCTCACGTATGGTCATCATATTGAAGTTTCAGGTAAAATTTGATTGCACATTAATGTTACTCAGTTAGATTTGTTAATATAAATAAAGCAAAAACATCTCATGTAAATTGTAGTTTCAACTACACACACATTTTTAAATAATACAAATTGTGTAAAGATTTAGGTTTTAACAGAATAAAATTAAAAAGGAACTTTATTTTACACTAGAAATCAAATTCATTTATAAGCAAAGAGCACGTTTGTATTTCATAATAATTTATATATAAGGTAATGCCGATTGCACTTACCTTTAAACATAGTGTGCAAATGATTATCCACTGTTAAACTGCTGCACGCATCTTCAAGGGTCCGATGTTCATCACAGAAGGCTGAGGAGAAAAATTAATCAGACTCGAATAAAACCATTGCTTGATTACGTAGAAGGAATTTCCTTATTCGATTCGTAGCTATTCGTGTTAATTCGATCACATGTGTCTCACTATGCTAGTTGAAATACTTCAAACAATTTACTTTTTTTTAAAACCCAAAATATAATAACAACACATAGTTTAATACTTAATATCACAGATAAGCAAAATCATAATTCAACAAACTGATTTGAAAGGTTAAATATATTGCAAAAAATTAATATAATTTACAAAAAACGTGTTTTAAAAATTAGTTACTTATTTTTATTGAAACTTTTTATTCTTATCATCTCCAACTGCTCTGGCGATTCACTGATTACGATTAATTTTCCCGAATCGTTTTCTTCTTCTATTAAAGTGGCAAGTATTAATAACGCATTATCATCCGCGATTAAAATAATAGCATCACGTCCTCTTTCTTGTAGTAGTTCCTCGATTATTCCCCTTTTTACTTTATCCTTTTCCAATGAGTATTCAAAGTAACTGTCTGCGTTACGTAGTTGTCGTTTAGAGCTACTTGGCGAGTTGCAATTTGACAGTACGCCGGAAAACGATTATACGGTAGTCTAGTTTCTTTCTTCTTTTAATTGCACTTTTTCGCGATTTAGAATCATCAGACGGTTGATCTATACTGCGTTTTTTGGCGATGTAACTAAAGCAATCCTGTGCTGATTGGCTGTTCGGAGTAAAAGCAAATACTAGAAATTTAATCCGTCTTTCCAGGTGTTGTAGTATCTACGTTTTTTTTTTTTTTTTTTTTTTTCTTGTATCTCTCTTGTGCTTGCTTGTAAGCTTCTTGCGCTTTTTCTCTTACTTTATCGGGATTAGATGTTTCAAAATGTTTTAGCTCTGAAACGAAAACAGCTGTATTTTTATCTTCTATTGATTTGCCTTTCAACGTCTGCTACTATTATCTGAAAATCTGCTTGGCCAGACGCTGCATAGTTTGCCTCACCAAATATACGAACTTCAGTACCTTTTCGTTGAACTTCAGAGAAAACGCCCTGTATGAATGCCTGAAAATCATTTTCATTTTGAAGCAAAGTGCTTAAATCAAATAAGGGGGACTTTAAACTGTCAGGCTTTATTTGATAACCATTATTTTCCTCAAAAAGATCAGAAAATCTTTTTGTGTTAAGTGATTTAAATTTCTTTCTTATATCAGAAAACTGATTTAAATCTATGGGAGGACCTTGAGAAAAAAAGATTGATAATCTCTTGATAATCTATAGATTGAAAAAAAGGCTTTCCCATTTCTTTCTTAGCAGTAACAGTGGCATCAATTTGGTAAATAGTTTGTCCCTGGTTCAATGCTTCATTACATAAATAGTCTACAGCCTTCTTAGCTAAATCAGCTATGTTCTTTGCATTTGGTGACTGTAGATTGCGCTCATCTCCCTCTAGTTTAAAATTAAAAATCAACCTTTGATAAATATTGTGGTCTTTCTCTTGAAAATCAATTACCAATACTCCACGATGCCTAGCAAACTGATCATCTTCTATAAATAATCTGAATCTGTTTTGCAAAACCTCAAATTTTTCTCCTTTATAGGACAACGTGTGTCAAACTAAAAGCGGAAAAAAATTTTGAAACATTTCTATACCATAGCGACTATTCGATAAATGTTCTAAACTTTCTCGATTTTTTTCTTTAATCTGTGTTTGCGTAAGCACAGTCAAAAGTTCTTCTATGCTAAAATGGTGAAGAGACATTATTTCTATTTTAATATCATCTGATCGAAACTGCATTCGGTCCTCGGTAACTAAATTATAATTCATTCCCGCAATGACAGCTTGGTCTTCAAAACTTTTTAAATTAAGCCAAGTATCTTTATACCTTTCTTTTATTTGCGCAGTAGCTTCCAAAGCGGAGTGCGTACCTATCTTAAATTCTGCGATCATAAGGAAAAGGGTTAAGGTTTTCTTTATCTTCGCCTAAACTAATCATTCCAAGGTCAATACGTCCCATTACGGTATTACGTTGCACTACAATAGAGATCCGGTAACGTCTTTTAAAATTAAATACTATTCCACCAAAGCAAAACCCATTAAAAAAACTTTCCTTAAAAAAATTCTGGCCTAATTCTTGTTCAAAAACCTCGAGTGAGTTGAGTAATAATTTTCTGTTAGTTTTTAAATAGTTTTAAAATTTGTCTTTAACATCATTTCTAGTTCTAGAACTAAATTTTTAACCGTTTTTTCTGTAATATTATCTTTTTCCTTTTCAGATATTCGACTGTGGACCGCTATAAAGCCAACGTTGTTTAATTCATTAGTTATTCTATCAGTATCAAGGGCATTAGTGTGTTCACGGGTTAGACGCTGCTCGTCCCAACGGAATCCTTGATTGTTTAAATAGGTAATAGACCCTTCACTCTGTTGTGTGAAAGTAATATCTTTAAGAAAAGTATCCTTATTACGAGAGACAGCACACGATGAAGTAATCGCAATATGAATAGTCCGAAGATAAGCTTTTTTTATATTGTATTTTTCGGTTAAATAAAACCAAGTGCAAACATTTTCTAATTTTATTATATTTCCATAAGGTAGTGTGAACACCCTGCGAATCTTTTAACGATGTATATTGAAAACTAGAAATTTACCAACAAAGAAAATTTCAGCATAGTGACCAAATTTGTTCGGAATACGAGCCAGCTCGTCATTCATGAGCTTATTAAAATCACGTCTATTTTCGGTAATGTCGGGTAAGTTGTGAAAGATTAACTCTTCAATTATTTCTTTTTTGCTCATTTTATATAATGCCTTAAAAATTAGGTAATATTATTATTATTTTTTAATTTTTATATATAAATTTCAAACTATACTATATAATAAAAAATAATCTTTTCTATTTTGTCAAAATAAATTCCACAAGGTGTTTAAGGCTTACATACAGTGTATCATTAAAAAATGCAGTTTCTATATTACCACTAATAAAAATAGTGTCGGCGCAGTTTGCTAAATTTTTTTGGGATTCGCCCTTTAAATCTGAAGAGTTAAGCAATATACCAGAAGATATAGAAAGAAAGTGGGAAGTTCGACTAGCTAATCATCGTGAAAAAACTATCAGTGCTTCAAACACTTTTATAGAAAAAAATAAACTACCTTCGCTTTTTAAAACTATTTTAAAAGAAAGTATTTTTTCACTCTATCAAGCTTATCATCAGATGCTGCTATGGAAAATAACGTACGATTCAGATAATGAAATTGATTTGTTGAAAGAAGGTGAGCTTTATGCGCCAAATTATTTTACTATTGATGGAGAATTTAATGACTTAATTTGTGCAAAGCGATTTGTAATTGAGTTTAACCATAGAATAAACCATCGTTTCTATTTGGCATGTTTCTATTGGTTCGAAAATGAAACCGCAGCACTTTGGGTAGAGCTTAAAAGATCAGATTATGCTCCTTTTCGCGGTAACTTAAATGCTATCCAAGAGCGAATGGAATCACTCATCACACTCAGGATTTTTCAGTTGGAAAATCAATTAGAAGCACTTGCAAAAGACTGGCAATACGAAGGCAGTTTCTGGGAAGTGGGGTTTAAAAAAGCGGCTAAAAAGGGATATGAACATGCAATTTATTATTTCTGGCAAGAAATAGGTGAATCTAAAAATATAAGTATCATCGAAAATTATAATTTTTTTGAATTAATGAGTGGCGCCATAGATCACACCGATGATAAAGTGAGCTATTTCTTATATTCACAACTATCAAAAGAGCGAAAAGAGAACTTATTGGATTGGACTATTGAGCATAATAAACCAGAGAAATGGCTTACTCTATTACTTTCTCCCTATACTCAAATAATACGCTCTGAAATAATTGAATTTGTTTATCAACTACCCATTAAACTGTATTACGATCTACTTCAATCCTTAGCGTACAGAATAAAACAACTTAAATCTTTTGACATGGAAATGTTTCAGGTATTGTGGAGTAATCTTTCTCCAGAAGAAAAACACGATACTTTAAAAGAAGGAACATTAATTATACAACGTTTGGTTCAGGCAAAATCATTTTACAACCTAGGCTACATTATAAAAGGCTTATCGCTTTGAACAAAAAGAAAACTGTTTATTTAATGGATGGTACGGAGCAGGTCTTGATATTCTTTGCAAAAAAGGTGAATTTGATTTACTACAAAACTATGTGTTCCTTTTTTTTGATCGAAATAGATCCACTTACTCAAAAAGAAATCCTGCGAAAAGACGCTAGTTCATTTCTAAAAAAATTCTTGAATTTCTTGATTTTAGGACATGGTATCAAGAAGACATTTCTAAGGTAGAAAAGCAAGAAGTCAAGAAGCGAATAGATACTCTTCAGGCAAGTTTAGCTTTACTTGATGAACTTTGCGAAAAAGTATGCAAAGAAGTCAACCAACCACGATCTTCAACAAGCGCTTCTTTTTTTAAAGTCGTCTCTAAAGTAAATGAAGAAGCAGAACTGACTTCTGCATCAAGTCAAAAACGTAAATACGAAGAAGAAGAAACTAAGTCTGCTAAACTTCAAAAAAACTTTTTTTTCATGCAATTATGTCGAGAATATTATATTTAACTGCTTTTATAGATTACTTACCGCTGGCTTGGGCTAAAAGTGTGTAGCGCTATTACTTGATTCTAGAGAAATAACAAGTTCCAGGTTGTCCAAACACTGTCGTAAGCATTTACCCAATTCCTGAACTTGTGTTTCTTGAAACATCGTATCATGTGCACCCGGCACTTTATATACTTGATTAGAAATATTCTGCCAATAATTACATTAATCTTCTATTTTTGAGACGGCGGTGGATGTGCCGGCTTTAAAAAGTGTTATTTTTTGTAATTTATTTTCTGGGAAAGTGTACTGTGGTGGCCAAAATTGTGCACACTTTTGGAAATTTTTATGTTTCTGAACTTTGTATGCTTATAGAAAACGTTACGTTTCACAAAATGCAAATTTGTATATATCATTTTAAAGAG